AACTACCCGAACTGGCCTGCCCCATGGCAGTTCGGGCCACACCACTGTCCGAACTCAAGACTTCACCTCGCACACCACTCTAGCACTTCGCCCCAGGACACCGAACTGAACAAACCGTACCTGACACCGAAGGAGTCCGTATCCAGGGGCGGCGCACCTGACTAACTTGGGATCTGACACTTGACAGCCGCATTCCAACGGCCACCTGCCACCGCCACCTGCCATCGCCATCTCCAGTTACAGAGACGACTCCAACAAGGAGCAGTGGCGGTTCTGTCCCAGCAGAGGTGATGACACCCGAACTAGCATAAGCACAAAAGTAATCATACCCGACTTGACAGAGGCCTCGGAGTGAATGCGCGAGGTGGTTATAAAAAGGCTCTCTACCCCCCGATGAAGGTATGTGAACTTTGCGCCATCTGGTTTTATCTTGCCTTTGAGAGAATACTAACTTGAGCTTCGGAGTGATCTCACCGGGTTCCTCCCCGGAGATTCCCCACTTTCTTCGTTTCAGGCCCCCCTGTTGCTCCAATCAAAGGCAAGGTCGTTGACAATTAGGATCGACCGGATTGTGCACCATCAATTGTCAAAAACAGTAAGATACTTTAAAATAATAATAAAACAAAATAAATTTCCTAAACCTTAGGGGTATTTTAAGAAATTTGCCCCGTATACTCGACAGGTGTCGATGGCTCATTGGGAATACAGTTTCAGTGGCTCCGCACGAAACCGAATGATGCATAAATCCTACGGCTAGTGAAATCGATCAAATTCAAATTCGAACGGAAAAATAAGGAACGAAAGAACTCGAAAAACTCAGAGGGATCCTAAACGGTTTTCTGTACGAATTTTCGCTCACTGATTTGCAGCAGGAATCTGCTTTCATCAGAATCAAAAGTGGGAAAGAGAGAAAATGCCAAAGAATGGGACTAAGGTGAAGGGAGAGGAGGAATCTCCCATTAGATCCATATTCTGTCTGAAGAAGAACGTCCCCTTGGAGGAGTTCGATGAAAAAGAAGACTGTTTCATCTTAGATTTCGATCCATTCGAGACCATCGATCTCAAAAAGCTCGCTCTCAAAGATAACAAGAAGAAAGATGAAGATTCTCAAGAAATCTCGGTCATTGCCGAGCGAGGCCAGGTATGCTGAGAAAGAAAACCCTACTTTTTCTGTCCCACATCCTCGTATTTTTCTACCTTCTCTATCATTTTTAATTCTTTTTATTGGATAGGTGGCTTGTCGAGACTACCCACATTCAAGACATCTCTGCGTAAAATTTCCATTTGACAAGACTCCCCATGAGAAATATTGTGAACAGGTGCTTTTGTTGTTAACCCTCTTCTCCGATCATTCATTCTTCGTTTTGCTTTCATTTGATTCTTTTCTTTTTCCTTTTCTTTTTAATTTCGTTGGCCTCGCTATGCGCATAGTGTCTGTATTGGATGTTCAAATGGTATGTGAACAAATAATTGATCTAGCATAAATACAGTAGGGATTATCTGTTCATCTTCTCTAATTTTAACTTAAATGTTAAAGTTGAAATTGATCAGGTGTATGATTTCTAATAAATGGTGGTCTTTCAATTGGAAAATTAATGCTGGTAATTTCTCCTCCCATGTTTGTGAATGAAGTTCATGGAATGGCGGCATCTTGAATTGGGTAGTTTAATGCTCGGACCTAGCTTAACTAAAAGTTAGAAAGGACTTAACCCTAGCTTAAATAAATCCCCTTTTTAACTCAAGAGATCGTTAACCCACACATTTTCTAGATTTATTTTTCCAATCTTAGCTGCAAGCAGTAAAGCAACTAAGCACTATACTGATCAGACGAAATGTCTACTAATTTGGTACTGCTAATTTGATCTGTGGATATTAATATGTGCAATATGCCCTTGATTTTCCAGTCATCCAATAATAGCACTTCCTAATTATCATGGTTGATGGGAAGAGTGATAAAAATAAAAGATTGAGACGGGATTCAAACCCACCTTGTTCTCTTGGGTTAACTGAACTACTATTACCTGAACAATAATCAGATAAGAATGGTCTGGCCATTACCTTCAGTCTGCTTTAATCCACATTGTATCCTTCTTGTACTCTAAAGAACTTGGGTACCCTCACTCTACCCAACAGAAACTTTTGAAGCTAGGGTTGCTATAAATACAAGGAATGAGAGATAGACAACCCCTTGGTTTCTAATGAAATCTTTGCATCTGGAGTCTAGACACGAATAGCCTTGCTGCCAATTATCTAATTTTCTTGCATCGGTTTTTGACAACGTTGTCAAGCCACTTGTTCCATGTATGGGAACTAGATCATCCCACTAGTATTTATCTTTTGCACCAGTGATTGCTAGTGTAAGATTCCAGACAATTACAATGAAATGAATTGCATGTTTAATTAACTGGATTGTCAATTGGTACATAACCTCGTTGGCTGTTCATCATAGTCTTATAATTCAATGTGATTAGACAATCTGAAATTCCATGGAATGGATTTCTTTACAAACTTCAACAAATTCATGTACATAGTATTTGATGGTAGATAAATTTTCTATAGTATTCCACAAGTTTGCATTAAGGCATAATGCTTATTATAGTATGAATTTTAATCAGATGAGTTAAACTAACTAAACCGCGATGGTAATGATTGCAGTGCTACTGTTACGTTTGTGACACAATCGCCCCATGTATATCCTGGATAAGAGGAGCTCAGCAAGGACATTGCCATGCAACGGAGCATGATTTTATATGGAAAAACCTGAGGGAAATGAAGAATCGAAATCCTCCAGTGCAGAAAATAGCTCTGCAACCTGTGGTCTAACTTCTCTAACTTCGCAGAGAGTTATACAGTGTTGGGCTAATTTTATTAACAGAAATTTTGCATAGATGGGGATCTACTAATCGAATGTTTTCAGCAAACATATCTGAAATTTTAGAGATATGATGCCATTAGAAGTAAGATGTTTTGGGTGCTTAGAATGTCAGTGGGTTCCCTATAGGGACTATTTTGGGTAGATAATATGTATGTAAAAATATTGTATAGGTGGAAAATGGAAGCTGGAGGTTTCTATTTTTTGGAATGATCATGGCAATAGCTAGGGATATTGCTCCACTTCTTCAATGGTGCTAAAGTAATTATTGATCAAGAATTTGTGGCTTCTTTTTTATTGTGGATAATATTGTTTGTTATTATCTAATGATCATCCTACCTCTCTTTCACATCTTATTGAGTAGGATGCTCACAATATACACATTAGCATAGTTTTAATGCTAATAAAGGTGCTAATTATGTTCTACCATATGTTTTACGAAAATGAACCACCATAGGGGGAAAATAAAGAAAATGAACATGAAGACCTGGAATTTGGGAGCAATGTAGTCAGAATTGATGAAAATTTGATATTGCAGCTGGTGAACTGCCCATAAGCACAATATTTGGGGCATGGGGAACATCAATAGTTTGGAATCGCTTCTAGTGGTTTGCATAAATGACATGTATCAATAACCTAGTCAGGTGAATGTAGCCACTGATGACCCAGTGGAGATGGTTACTTAGCACTCCCTCCAGCTTAGTGGGTGTGGGATCAAACACATGGAACCACGGGCTCTCTATGATAGGGGTGTCAATTGGACTGGATTTTGTCCAATCCGGTCCAGTCCAATGTGAGTCCATTACAAATGGACCTGGTCCAATCCAGTCCAGTGAATATTTTAGACCATTTTGGGCTGGTCCTGAGACTGTCCAATCTGTTCAAATTCCTATTAATTTAGAATGGTTTCAACTCAAACATGTTCCATTAACACATATGCTCTTATCTTCTATCAATGGACCAGATATTGTCTCAATCCAATATAAATTCATTATGGATGGACTAGGTCCAACCCAATATTTCATATTGGTCTGTCCAAATTCAATGTCTTATTGGTCCATCCAATCTGTCCAAATGGATTTTGATTTGGATGGAGTCTAGATCAAAATCAAGGTAGGGCACCCTGCTCTGCCCTACCCCTGATTACCCTATGTAGCTATAGATACTGTCAATAAAATCTATAGCTGCAGGTTTTGGTATCTTGTGTAAAATACGTGGTGATTGAGATATCCATTTGATGTAGCCAATGCACATTAAATAGACGACAAAACCATATCCAAATAAAACATATAAATTTCAGGTCATGACAGAAAAGCTGTTTTGTTTAAGGTATCATTCCAAGTTCCAACATCCTCTTAGCTCTTACTAAAGGGTAAAAACCAAAACAGGAAAAAGTTCTGCCAACATGGTCTTTTTGGAAGACCTTAAAATGAGGAAGGATCCATTTGGTTTGAAGGAATAGGGGTCTGGGAATCGTAATTGGAATGTACCATTTGATTGTTTGGAATTGGATCTTGATTCCCATTCCTGGTGGAATGATATTCTCTCATTTAAGGGTATAGCCATTCCCTCTCTCTTCCTTGGGAATGAGAATCCATTCGGATTCGGATCTTTTCCTCATGCCAACCTCACAAGATATCCCGGCCACATGATATGGGGAACATGGGGAACATCTCCCATAAACCTCTGAACTGGATAGGATATTGAATATAAGATACTTTTACTGTTTTACATGAAAATGATGTTCCATAACTTCTGTTGTGTATTCTCCACATGAAGTTAGGACATTCTCCCTGCAAAAGGGCGTTGAAGAAATGGTTGGTCTTAATCATTCTCCCTGCAAATGAGATCCTAGATCAGAGAAAACCAGATTCTGGATCTGATCCTCACAGCATGTTCAAGACGCATATCACCATCGCCATACCGGGAACATCTCCTATACTTAGTGTGTTGTTCATGGAGAGATGTTCCCAGTACATAGTGGGATGTACTGTAAGCATAATCTCTACAAGAATGAGACCCATCTTAGTAAATGATGGGAGCTTCAGCAATTTCTCTCATATGATTGGATTGTAACTATCAGACAATCCTAATAGGAGTACTCCTAGCCCTAGCCCTAGGGTTGTTGATAAGCCTAAAGTAATAGCTAACTTCTCATTTCAGTAAGAAAATGCCCTATTTTTCTCTTCACTCTTTGGTGGACCGAATATGAATGTTTCCTTCATCTCATGTATCAACTATCAAGAAATCCTTGTTTACTTTCATGGGATCACTCCCATGTTTGATGTCTCTCAATTTTGTTTGCACCCTACAAGCCTCCGCCCGCATTCTTTGTCACCAAACCATTCTTAAGCTCGACAATGACCGTATGGCCTTGCTATTCTAGGATTGTCAGCCCTAGGAACTGGGATTCTCTCATTGAAGCTAATCACCAGCTTCTTATCTCAGTCAGGAGATTTTAATTCATATTTAACCTCCCATTTGTAGTGTCGGGTTCTAGCATCAACTGTTGGGGCTGCTATCACAATGTAAAAGAATCAAAGGAGCAATCCACTCTTTGGTAGTGGAACAACAACATCAACTTCCTTTTCTTTGTTATTTTTATCATTTTTTTGTGGGGAAAATGGCAGATCTTCAATATTTGGATTTTTTTTCCAATTTCTCCATTTTCAAATCACAGGGTGGAGAGATTGGGAAGAGCTGTGCAAGTGAAATGAACGAGAGAAAAAATGGTAAGAAGAAGAAGAAAATAGGTAGTTGAAGCCAATGATAAAGGGGTCACTGTATAGGGTTGCAGTAGTGGTGAGAGGGAAGAGAAAAGGGGACGGAAGAAGAAGAAGAAAAAAGGGGAATTGTTGTCGCCCTCTCTAGTTTGGTTAGTGACCGGGGAGGAAGATGAACAGTTGTGTTCGATTGAGCTCCCAAGAGAGCGTGGCCCACACATGCCCCCATAGCACATCTACTATAGGGGTGGATTCGGGCCGAGCGAACCGAATACTTGCCTAGTTCAGTTCGGTTCAAAGTTCGCAAATTCAAGTTTGTGCTCGATTGCAAATCATTTTTTTTCTAAAATATATAAAACATAGATATAAAAATATTTTTTATTTTACATATAAAAATTAAGAATTATAAAAATTATTTATTATATATTTATATATATGTATGTATATATGTAATAAAAAAAATATTTATTTATTATTTAGGTTCATGAGCCTCACAAGCCAAATTTCATTGTATTCAATTAGCAAATGAACCTATATATCAAGTTTGAACTTGACTCAAAATTCGATTTAAATTGAATTGAGTCAATCTTAAATAGCTGGTGAAAAGTTCCACTTGCAGCCACCCCTAATCGGAAACATAGGAGATGTTCCCAATACATGGGGAATGTGTTGTTGAGTGCGTGTGGGGCACACTCTATGGGGAGTCCATCGAAATTCTTATTTTGCTTCAATCACCAAATGTCAATGAATGGGTATTTGGGTCATTTTACCCATTCCATTAGCGGAATCTAATGGAAGGGGTGTTGATTCAGTAGTGTAAAAAACTTTAGAGGAGTTGACTGTTATTAGGAAAAAACAGCGGAAGCTTCAACAAGTGTCAAAAATTTTAGAGAAGGTTTTAGTAATTTATCAAAAGATAAAAACTTCAGCTTCTCCATCTTCCATGAAGGAAATCGAATCTTTGACTAGACCATGCCACACACTTCGGGGCTGTTTGGTGTAGCGTTGTTTTTCAAATGTGTTTTGAGTTGATTAATATAAATTTGGTGTATAAAAAATCTTATATTTATATTAATCAAACCAAAGCATAATAACAATATAACGCTACTTACCAAACACCCCTTCAGGAATGAGCATTCGGTCGGGTTGGTGGGAGGTCCAGCTTAATTGGCTTGAATTTTTTGTCAACTTGGCCTCGGCTCCATAAAAGTTAGGCCGAGCTAGGACTCTCAAGTGGAGTCTGGATCTGATGACTGACATCCCTGACCTAATGGGGTCAAGAATGGAGATTGGATGTGCTCGTCACACACAGGGCGCCTCACACCGATCTCATAGATACATCCCACCCTATATTGAAAACATTTTCTGTATTTATGTGTTATTATTTACAAATGTTTTCAATGCATGGTGAGATGTGCCTGTAAGGCACCCAGTGTGATGAGCAGATTCTAATTCAGGTTAATCGGTATCATGTGTGTGTTAAATATTATTTATATTATATATATATATAAATTTTCTTTATTTTAAGTAAATTTAATTTACAAAATACTTTTAATTAAAAAATTTTGGGATTTGGGATTTGGGTCCTTATGTGAATTTATCTTTGTCAAGAATTGGAGATGAAGGATAATTTTTATCCTTGGCAAGAATCAGGGTTGGGGACAAAAGTTTATTTAAAAATTAGGGTCGAGAATGAGAAATATAACCCTCGCTCTATTACGATTCCTACACATTGCTAGCCATGTTCATCGAAGTGCACCTATTGGCGACGCAAAGTTGAGTCCAAAGTCTCTTTGGTCCAAATATCCAATCAAGCTCAATCAGTCCCTCCTGATGTTAGGGTTAAAAATATTTGTGAAAACCAGGCTACCAGTGGTCTCCAAAAACTTGACACCCAATACAACCTTTTTTTTATAGCAAAAGATGAGCTACACAAGCCTAGGGGTAGCTCTTCCCCTTACATTCGATTCACAAAATGAAAAGAAAAACACTAAAACTAAGACCCCTACCCCCCCTCCCTATCGAAAAGAACTTTACGAGCTAACCAGTCAGCCACTTGATTTGCTTCTCGATATGCATGCCTAAATTTGATATTTAAGTTGAAGAAGTTCACTAGGTTCCGACATTCTTTGATGACACTTTCCAATCTACACGGAGGCACAAGTCTACCATTGAGGCAGTCAATAACAAGTTTAGAGTCACCTTCAATGACGATTTTTTGATCCATATAGTTGATAGCCATATTAATGGCTTTCCAAGCTACCCAAGCTTCAGCAAGATTGATAGTCGAAATTCCAATGCCAGTAGCTTTAGAAATCCAAAGACATTCCCTTGATGGTTCCTAGCAATGCAACCAATTGCACAATTGCCACTATTCAAGCAAGAGGCATCAAAGTTAATCTTGATGCAGTTGTGTTTGGGCTTGAACCACTCAATGTGGGTTACCATTTTCCTGTTATTGTTAATCACACAAGAGGATATCTCTTTAATTTCATTCAAGTAGGCCAAGGCTCTATTAATGATGGTCTCTGCATCACAAGTACAACCATTAAAACATTTACTATTTCTATTCTTCTAAATGAACCAAGAGACACAAGCAAATTT